CATATATATATATATATTTACTATATATATAAAAGTATTCTATTTTAAATAATGCATTAAGATTTCTCGAAAACTATGGTAGATACAAAAAAAATGTTTCAAATAAAAGTTGTATGGTTCGGAGGGAGACATAACAAGGTACATTGATTTGATCTTGGATAACGTCGCCAAAGTCACATCAATTTTTTTTAATGGAGCATCCTATTTTTGGAATCTAATAGCTGGTGTCGAGAGTTTTCCAAAATACTAAGAAAATATTTTTTCATTAAGTACTTTTTGAGTTATGATGCTTAAAAGTTACAGTATTGCCAACGTTACAAGATGTCCAACGGCTAAAAATCTCTTGAATGTTGTTCATCAAGATCATATCTTAGATAACATTTGTCAACATCAAGATTACTAGAGATTATTTCTCTTATTTTAATTTTTGCACTAAAAATTTATTTTTATAAAAATAAAAAGTACAATCTCTAATTTTGATCTTGACAAATGTTATCCAGGACATAATTCTGAACAGCATTCAAGAGCCATTGATTACACCTTACATAATGTAATACTGGCGGTACTGTAATTTTCAAGCCTTGTAACTCGAAAAGTACGTAATAAAAAATAACTTTATTACAGTGCTTTGAAAAGCTCTTAACATCAGCTATTAAATTCTGCCATTCAAAAATAAAATATTCCAAAAAAAAAACACGAGTCTCTCCTTCATGATGAAATGGAAGACTTGCCAATCTCTGTCAATAGAATAAGGAGATTGAGTCATCACTCTTCTAACATAAAGGACTGAGAAAATTACAATAAATGTTTAAACATACTGATGGCTCGAAGACAACTTTTGAATTGGTAATAAACGATTTTTATTTTCGGACTAAGTGCCGTGAAACTCTCATTAGTCCTTCTTTGTTTTTACATTTGACATTCTCGAGAGTTGTTACTTGTCTTAGTTTCACTTTTGTTTGAAACATTTTTTCGTATCTTTATAACCATATTTCCATATCTTTATAATCATAATTTTCGAGAAATCTTAATAATTATTTAAAATGGGACACCCTGTATATATATATATATATATATATATATATATATATACACATGCAGTGCATTAGAATTATTTTTTATACAAGATACGTAAACAAATAAAAAGTTGCGCCACTATCAATAATTACATCGCAGATTGTACTTGATTTATACTACATATTATCAGGATGAAGCTCGATATAACTTTGATTATCACTGCTTTTGCAAGCGTAGTTGAAATCTGGCAATATAACCTGATGACCGATATTTCCGTGGAAAATTACTGAATACGGTTGAGTTGATATAAAATTACATTATTGCAATTTTATGATAACAATTGAGCTAGCGCATATTATCGAGCTGGCATTTCTAGCTACATTATCTTCTAAGAAACTTCAAAAGCCGTCCAAGAGATATGTATCAATAAATGAATGAAAAGATTCTAAAACGCTCTTACCAACAGAGACATCAGTCATCATATTTCGTCATGTGTCCGAAATTTTTGATTCGCGGCACGCAAAAAGTCGATCTTTCTCTCAATCTTTTCAATGTCCGGCCCATCGCGCACAAATACAGAGAAGGCATTTTGCACGGTCATGGTATTATTGACCGGAGCTGACGGATGTAGTATCGCTGGCGGTGGACGCGGTATCTGACAACGGAAGCGGTAATGATAGCGGCAAGGATGATGCCGTGGATTTCAGTAGTTCGTATTGTCCCCGCGGCATCCGAATAGTGGATGGTGATAGCATCACGTTCATATTCTCAGGTAACGGCGGAAATACATTGTTCTGAAACTGACCGGACACGTTGCCCACCGGATCATAGTTCGCTACCACGATCACCTTGCCACTTCTGCTGCATGCCTTACCGACTCCGAAATAACAGCTTCTCGCCCATATTAGCTGAGTGAAGTGACCTAGGAAGATGCTCCTTTGAATCATTTTCCATAAAGTTAAATAGATATATATTAAAATTCATATCATACATGTATCTATAAATATAATACTATAAAGGGTGGGGCAATAACTTTGTCCATCTTGAACATTTCCGCTATTTTTAGAGATATGAAAATATTGTAATTACAAAAGTGTACGGTATCAAGAGGACTCTAATATATGCTGACAATAATTTTTCTAGGTGGAAGCGCTTCGGAAATTTCACCTCCTTTTTTAATGCATGCTGTATTTTTTAACCTTAGTGTAATAACGGATGTTAATAACGGATTTAGACGATTTCAACGACCTATGATAAAAGGTCATTTGTCATTAAATAAAGAAGTAAAATAATGATTCTTACGTTACAAGAAATGATGTCCATTTACATCAATGTAACATTGAATTTCTGAAGCATATACACTTCTTAACGTTTCCGGATTGATTGTCGCACATGCTACAATGACTACGTTTAGCGGACTCAACAGTTGAATAAGCGCTTGTTGTTTTTGTTTGGTGTATTCTTTTAGATCATCCAATCAGCATTTTAGATCTGGAAGAATATATATATACATATATATATATATATATA